ATCTATGTGTGTTATATATATAACCGATTGTTCAGGTAAAATATGTGCAATTATTTTGTTAAATTAATGTAAAATAACTCTTACCCACAAATATTCGGTTAATTCAATTAATTTTCATCGACGTTCGAAAAATAATGAAAAATTCAACGAAGAATTGCTATTTATTATATATTATAAATATTATATTTTGATAAAAAAAAAAAAAAAAACAATTAGATAAAAAGAATAGATGTTGTTCAAAATAAAACGAATTTATATCGAATGCAATTATTATGGTCAATTAATTATTTTGTAAAAAGGGAACACGAGTGGATCGATTTACACGTACAATTATTTAATTTGTTAACGAACTATTGATAATAAACTTTCTATGTTCGTTTAATAGGATCATTTATATATTCAAATATATATAATATATATATATATCTGTGTATTATATTATTCTACACTTATAAGTGTATTAATAGTGAGAGATGATCACTTAATTGTCGCAAAATTGAAACGCTTTTAATTAATTGCGGTTGGAAGTTATGATATGGAGAGAAACATGCCGATCTTATCTAGTTATTCGATTAACGATGCCTTCAGGATAATCACTATAGATTATCACCAGCTATCCTTGATATTAAACTTCGTTAACGCTTTCAAACAACAATCCAGAAAATCTCGAGAATTTCTTGAGCATGTGACCAAAACTTTAAAGTACTTCGGAAATTTACGAGAGTGTATTTCTAAGTGTTTACGTACACGTATTTTAAGCACAGAATTTCAAAATAATTTCATATAATTTCGTTTTTGTGGTATGATAAATTATTTATAGAAATATTTTTCTCTCTATATACGATATATTTTTCTTTTTTTTATATCTTTTTGTATATAGAATTAACGACACCATCGGGAAGGATAATCGAGAGATACAAATTCGGACTATTCATTGTTGTATTTTTTTTTACACAGAATTTTCTCACGCGAAATCCTATTGCTTTTTTATTAATATTATTATTATTATTATTTTCATTTTTGTAATTATCATTGATTAAACTTAAGTGAATGGGAGAGATTCGAATAAGAGTTTCATTAAAATTTCAAAACATTTCTGAGAACTTTGAAATGTTTGCACACGGTATACAATCGAGTTTGAAAATAGATTTTTATAATCGTTTGATATATTAATTTATTTTATAGTTATATATATCATATAGAAAATTTTTCTAGATAAAACGATAATATCACAATTAAGATAAAATTGAAACATTCCCCTTTGTTACATTGTTACGCTTTTTATTTATTCGTATTGTATTTTATTCTCATTTTTTTTTTATTCCCATTAACTGAACTTCGTCAATGGGATTCACTTCGAAATATCGAATTAATATACGTAATCGTAATGTTTAAGAAAATAGAAGTAAAAGACAAGGTGGACAAGCTATGGGAGGGATGGGTGAAGGGGAGGGGGAGTGGAAACGTCAAAAGGATTAAAAGGCGTGAAGGTTTTACAACGAAAAAGGGGAAACAGAAATAGATTTGAATTTGTTTTATCCGCCGTTGGGAAATATTTCAAAGCCGCTTATTTCGGCTTTTACAAAGAGAGTTGAAAACTTCGTTAAATAATACAGGCTTTTCTATAACAGTGGGGATGGGGGTGGTGGGTAGAAGAAAGTAAAGTAAATAATGACAAAATTATTAATGATGAAATAAAACGATACGATATATTTTAATTATCCTTTGACGATTATTATCCAAGTTTAAAATCTGAATCCAATAATACGAAGAAAAGAAAATTGTTTTGTCTAATCGTTTATATACAAAGTTTTAAAAAAAATAAATTAATGTATGTATGTATATATATATATATACAGTTAATCACATAAATATTCCGTCCTCGTTCTGTGATCGCACATTTTTAAATAATTCATATTAACTAGTAATCGAAACTTTTTCCAAAATTTTCCTATTAAATAAAAATCTAATTACAAGATATATATATATATATAAACATTTTCTCGAATTAAATGAACTTTTCTTATTAGAAATTTTCAATATAAAAATTCGATAATAATCGTTTGTTAATCGTTACGTTAAAAATCGCAATCGTAGCGTAACAATTATCACTAATCAACGCGATACAATTTACCTATAAATAATTATTCATATTTTTCTTTTTTATTTATTATGTTTTTTTTCTAATAATATATTTATTATCGTAAATCCCATTATAAATCGAAACGTTTGTTATATATAATTTGCGAAAAATAAAATTAAGATCGGATAGACCATTGTGTAAATGTAAAATCTATTTTATCGTTCGTAGTATAGCAGCTTTAACGTTTCCATACTGGTGAAATCAATTAACCTTACTCTAGAAAGATAAAGAGAGATAGAACTAGAGTTCGGACATTCAACATAGATTCTGCTTGAATGCTGTCAGCTCGAATGCTATAACAAAAGGTATATTGAACCGCGTGTATGGATTATCGATCGTATGGGGTCAAGTGTCGGATCTTTGATGATGACGATGACTATGAGAAGAGAATACCTTGTTGGTTCTATTATATCTATCTCTCTCTGTTTCTATTGTCCCCTCCCATTCCCCCCCACTTTCATCTTTTTCTCTTTTTCTTATCATATTCATCATATTTTTTTTTAATATTTTAAACAACACCGCGCGCTTACATGTGTCAGGATATTTGTTGGTGTGTGTGTGTATGTTTGTGTGTGTGTATACCGATTGATCATTATACTCTAATTATTTTTCATTTAGAGTCTAAGAGTTTTGGTTTTCACATTTTTATTTATTTATACTCAAAATTCATGTAAATATATTTTTTTTAATATTGTTCCTTTCCGTTTTGGCATTTACTCAACGAGAAAACATAACATTCCTAACGCGGGGGAAGATGATTAAAAAAGAAAAGAAAAAAAAAATATTAAAACAAAAAAGAAAATTGGATCGTATGAATATGTTGCGTTCGATATTTTTTTGTTTTTATATTTTTTTCTTTTTCCTCTTTATCGTAATCTAATCGATCCAGCAATATTTTTCATCCAAGCGAAGCCTATCATTACAATTATTACTATTGTTATTAATATTATTAATAATTATTCTTATTTTTTAATATCGTTGCAATGATCCTGCGTAATTTGTCATCAATCAAGAGACCGATGATTATTCTTTCGTATTAAATATTATTCCTCGATAATCGTGACAATGGAAAGTTAAGTTGAACAATTGAAAAAAGAAAAAAAAGAAAACAAAAAAAGATATGAATCTTACGAATAATTACTTCATAAAATTAATAAATATTCCTTACGTTATTCTCCAAATGTTTTGATCGAATTATAACAAACAACAACAAAAAATTAAAATATATTACAAAATTATAATATACGCTTAATGATATAAATAATTACAATAATAAAATAAATCGTCATAAAATTTTTAAATATTCTTTTTTTTTACTTAACCCGTCAACCGTGTCATAATTACCAGTACATTTAAAAAAATAATAACATCGGTGTATCTTCTCACATTTCTTTCATATTTCATTTACGAAAAATAATAATAATAATAATAATAATAATAATAATAATAATAATAATAATAATAAAAAAAGTTAATCGATGAGGGGTTATATTTTCTATGAAAAACAAAAATCTGATAATTATACGTAAACATCTAATCTAAAATCTTTAGATATATATATATACAGGTATATATATATATATATATACCTGTCCTCTTATAAAAATTGTATATGAACATTTTGTTCAATATGTAAACGATATGTAAATATTTATTGTTAGGATATTTTGTTGTTCTTTGCACGTGTAAGTATATTACAAATGAAAAAAGATAAAAGGAAAAAAAGAATAGAAGAGAGAGAGAGAGAGAGAGAGAGAAAGAAATGAAAGAAAGAAAGAAAGAATGTATGTATTGTATGTATAGTTCGATCGAGGGTCATCGTCTTCTGTTGACGCTCTGCTCTCTGCGCATAATAGGGGTCTCTGGTGACCTCGACGACGAGGTCGAAGGTGGTGACTCCTGGGTCATCAACACCAGCGGTTGTCCGAATGGACGCGTGCCTGACATGGATCCTCCGCTTCCTCGTCCTGGCCAATCGAATGATCGGAGCTTTTGTTTCGTTTGTTATATTTTTTATTTGTTATTGGTTTTAGATTTGCTAGTCGTTTATTTTTAATATATTTTTTATTGGATATATTACGATTATTATTATTATTATTATTATTATTTTTCTATTAATTTCATTTAAACAAAAGAAATATCGAAAAAAAAACAATATTGTTTATCCCCTTTAAGCTCGATCACAACTGGGTGAGTGGGTGTGGGTGTGTGGGTGTGAGTGTGGGTCGGGGGAGGACTAAAAGCTTTATTTACCCTTTCGTTACGAACACGCCGACTATAGTCGGCATCCATGTTTATATGGTGTACCGACTTATAATCGTCAAAAAGATTCTATAGTTTGTCTGTAAAGAATTGTTGGAAAACTTTAATTTAATATGTAGATTAAAAAGTATCTACCCCTGTGACTTAGGAGTAAGATTTTCTTCAAATAATGATATGGTTATATAGTAACAATTATATCCGTTTACACTTATCTTAGTAACAATTCACATCAATGTATCAGAGTTAACAAAAATTACTTATAATTCTCAGCTGTGAATTGATTGTATATATTCCTCTATTAATAAAATTAAAAAAAAAAAATCTCTTGAGCATTCTCTTGTGATTCTATTGATCCGTGTATCGAATGAATCCTAATAAAAGTATATTTTGAAGGTAAGTAATATTATATTCTGTATGGTCACAAAATAAGTTGCCATTGATGGCATTGAAAAACTTAATCGCGAACATCAAAAATTACCTACGTGGAATATGCACACTTTTCGATATTACCATTAGTGATATTATTTTAATGGAATTAATATTATTTTTTTTCTTTAAATAAATCAATAAATCGCTCCTAGAAATAGCAATAAAAAAAAAGCTATTATAACAGGACAAAGTCCTAATGAAATCAGGAAGAAGAATATTATTCTAAAGTAACGAAAGGGTTTGTCTTATTTCAAATTGATAATAAATTCTTTTTTTAAATGCATTCGTTAGAAGACTCGTTGTTAAATAACTTAAAACTTTAAATTTGTGCATGTTATTATATTGATATTTCTTTTTCATTCCCCCCCCCTCCCTATCCTGGGTTCGAGGCGTTGTGATAAAAAGAATATTTTTATTTTGCATTTGTTCGGTGACATTTTGAATTGGGGTGGATTGGGGTGGGGTTAGTGTGCCCGTTCAACGTAGGAAGATCAATCAATCAATCAAATCAATCAAATCAATCAAATCAATCAATCGTTATTTTGCTATTCAATTGAAAACAGGCGAAGAAGTGTTTGTGGCGAGATTAAGAAATAATATTATTTATATGGCAATGTATATGTAAAAGCGATAGAATTTTTATAATTGTCGCGTTACGAAGAAAGATTTCACTTTTTAACGGGAAGAGATTATAAGAAAAAAAAAGAGAGAAAGAGAAAGAGAGATATATATTATATAATATAATATATAATATATAGGAAGTAAATAGATCTGATCGTTAATCTTTGATTTTAGAAAAGTTCTTTGATGTTTTGTAGGACCCTCTTGAACCTTCTTCGTTCGGGACTCCTTGAAAATAAATCGAATACTTGAATAACTAACCCTTTGATAATACTTCAACTTGTGGTTTTTGCTCTCGTAACTCTTCCATTTAGTCAATCGGATTTTTTGTTTGATTTCTATTTTTGTTTTTTGTTTTGTTTTTTTAAGATATAGAAAGCAGATATTACAGGGATGAAAAGATAAGCAGCAGCAACAGCAGCAACAGCAGATGCTATGACGTTAATAAATGATTCGTAATTTGTCTTTCTAACACGCAAGTTATGTTTAAATTATTATTATCTAATTATTATACGTCGAGAATGTTGTGGTGATGGTGTCGTTAATCTTATGTTAAAGTGATTATTATATATTAAATTTATGGGCTTTTCTTTTTTTTCTTTTTTTTTTTTCATGTAATATCGATCATATCGTTGTTTAATATATTATATTGTATATTTGATTATTAATTACGATTCGAACGTCGACGAAAATTATTCATATATATATATATACGATAATATGTTAATAAACAATTTGTTTTTCATTAACGAACGGAGCGAGCTTCGAAGGAGAGATGAGGAGGGTCGATTATTCGGATATTTTTTTCTTTTTTCTTTTCTTTTCTTTTCTTTTCTTTCATTTGTTTTGTTTTTACGAATTGTTTTACCTGTTACCATATATCGCGCGATTCACGTTGTAAATAATTTCTCTTAGAATTCGGAAAATGTATTCGGTGAAGGCTTTGTGTTCGATTATACATTCCATCCTATGAAATTGTGCGAAAGAAAACTTCGAAGATTATAATATAACTCGAACTATAAATAATTATTCAGTTTTCTTGAAGAGATTCTGTTCGATTTAAAAAAAGAAAAAAAAGAAAAGAAAATTGGCTTGTTTTAACCCTTCTTTGCATGATGATGGAAATTTCAATCATAATATTTAGTCAACAAAAAAAGGTACTCAAAACCCTTGTACTGTATATTTGTTGTTGCTGGCAACTTTTTAAGCGACTATTGCGTACAACAAAACGCAGTTGTCAAAAAATAGCACTAGGATTTTTAAAAATATTTTTCCTTTAATCTAGAGCATTAATTACATCACCCTGATTTATTTTAAAAGAAAAGAAAAAATCATGCAAAGAAGGGTTAAAGAAACACTTTTTTGTTTTTAAACCGACACAAATTTTTCCAGTTAAAATTTGATAACGATGCAGAAAAGAAGATATCACGTCACCTGTTTACCGCGTACGAATATTTTTTTTATCTACTATAAAAAGAAAGAAAAATAATTATTTTCTCTCGTCTATCAGATAGATAAATAATATTATATAATTATTATAATAGATATAGTGAGAGATAATCTTCGAAATTTGAATTAATAGAAAATGAACAAAAGATTCGAACCTTTACGAAAAATTTGATAGCTCGGAAGCTGATGATAATACAAGAGAAAGATAATTTATGCTACGTTTCTCACACGATGCGTGATACCACGAACGTGAATTGCGTTTTACTGGATTATGATTAGACCTGAGAGCGAGCATGAAAATTACCAATGACGTCAAACACTTTCCCACCTAGTTGCAATCAATCGCGATAGAATCAAAATCCGATTTGATTATCATACATCATCATTTCTAACGATAAACATGAGAAAGTATGTCCGTCATCGTAGACGGAGAGAATCTATCTATAATATATTATTCAAAATTTATCGTCGAGAAATAAAATAACAATATTGTATTCAAGATTTCTAAAATCTTTTATTTGTAATAGAATTTCACGCTAATCATTGTAATTATAAGAGTGAAAAAAAGAAAAAAAGAAAAGAAATAACATATACGGTACACGTGAACAATACCCCAGGCTGATTAAAACGCGACTAACTTCGTGCTGTTAATTTCATATCGCAATGCGCGCGCATCGTAAATATCGGCTAACTTCATCGTGTTATAATTTGGTGTCGCTGTGCGCGCGCATCGTAAAAATTTACTCTCATCATTTTTATACCAATATACAAACACGCGCCAAAAGAATTATAATTTTAAATAAAATTCAAAATGCATTCACGTTCGTGGTGGTTATTTACGCTTCGTGGGAGATAACTTGGCATTTAAACAGGAAGGAAGTGAATAAAGAGAAGAAAGAAACAACGGAAAAGAATAAATCCGAATATACATATTGAATACAAAGAGAAAATAGAAAGATAGAAAGAGAAAAAGAAAGAAAGAGAGAGAGAGAGAGAGAGATAGTAAGATAATTATTAAAAAAAGTATAAGAAAAGGATAGAATGAGATGACGAGTCATGTCCCGGTGTTAAAGAGAGAGACGAGCATATATTTTGTTTCTATAATTTTTGTTCTTATTCTTGATAAGAAGAAGAAGAAGAAGAAGAAGAAGAAAAATAGAAGAAGAATAGAAGAAGAATAGAAGAAGAAGGGTATAGAAGATCGATAGGAATCGGTAGTGTGCCTTACCAGAGGTGGACGAGGAACAAGGGTGGGAGGAGGCCCTCGCTGAACCGGAAGGTGCTGCACCGGAAGGAGGATGATCTGCTGTAGGAGGCGTAGGCGGTGAGTTTGTCGAGTTTCCACGTATCTCGCCTGCCTGCTTCAGCACCTGGTATATGGTGTCCACGTCTGTGCCATACGGGGAGGACAAAGACACAAAAATGGAAATGCAAATGCGAAAGACCCGGCCCAATATTATCTTTTTCTTTTTTTTCTATTTTTCTTTTCTTGTTTGTTTATTTTTTAAATTATATTTTCTCCCCTTCTTTTTTTTTGTTTTTTTCTATATCATTTCGTTTTTGTATCGTGTGTATGTGTGCGCGCTCGTTTATTATATTATTGTTATTATTATTAGTGGTTATTGTTATTACTTTTTGTTTGTTAATTTGGACTTATTGTTAAAAAATAAGCCCTCGTCGTTCGTCTCTTTCTTATTGTCTCGTTTATAAATTTGTATTCTCTTTCGATATAATTTGTTTTCCTATTAAAATATTTTTAATTATAGGAAATACGAAAAAATAAAAACAATTAATCGAGTTCGTCCCGTTCGTCAAACGCGAACGACAAGAATCAAATCGTATATCCATGTGGTTGATTGTGTAAGATAATGATTAGAATTCATGAGAATTGTCTGTGTGTGTGTATGTGTGCGCGCACGAGAAAGGGTGAGAAAGATAAATGATTAAATTATTATGAATGCGTGAAAATGAACGTGATATCAGAATTCGTAATGACGATGATGACGATGACGCAGATGCATTTTTGTGCAACCTCCTCTCCTGGTTGTTCGTTCACGTTCTTTTTTTTCTCCCGTTCACATTCTATCGACCATATTATAACAATGAAATGAAATAATGCGAAAAAACGTAAGAGATAGAAAGAATGAAAGAAAAACAACGCAATGAAGAATAGGGGCTTGGGGTGTGGTGGGGGATAGGGGGTGATATAAGCGATTAAACTTTTGTGCAACCCATAGACGTAAATGTTATATACGTTAGTTCGTTTTCTCTCTCTCTCTCTCTCTATTTTATTTTCCTTCTTTTTTTTATTCCTCTTTTTTATTTGCTTTTCTATTCTTTCCTTTTTACTATTTTTTTTTCGCTCGGCCAATAGAAAGATCGATAGGTGGTAAGCTCGTCGATGGAATCACAAATTCTATGCCTACGCGAATACGAATGGTATTCGTTGGAAAAACAGAACGTGTAATAATAAAAAATAAACATTCGCGTGCGTGTGCGTGTGTTTGTGCGCGCACACATTTGTAGTAGTATATTTTCAAGAATTTTCATCGATCGTTCTAAACGAATGAGAAAAAATAATAATAAAAAAAAAAGAAACCAAATAATATTAAAATAAAATAAAATAAAAATAAATTGGCGTAGTAAAAAATATCGTAAGTATTATCTCGGTTCGTGACTATTAAAAATTATTCGAGTCTTTTAATCCTGTCTGTGCCATTTTTTCGTTCTCTCACGGGATAGAAGAAAAGTGGTATAATAGGAGGAAGAAAAAAGAAGAAAAAAGAGGAAACAAACAAACGAACAAAACGTCGATATTTCTCGACCTATTCTTCCAATCAAGAATAAAAAATAAGAACGTGAAAATAGAGAGAAAGAGAGAGAGTGAGAGAGAATGAGTGTGAGAGTGTGAGTAAGGGAGAAAGGGAAGAAAGAAGACAGATAGTTGAAATAAAAAAAAAGAAAATGAATCAAATTTGTAGAAACGAAAAAAGAAAAAGAATAAAAAAGCGAAAAAGAAAGTAAGAAACAGAACGAAAGAAAAATGATCAAACAATAAAAAAAAAGAAAACAATATTATAAATCAAAAGTGCGTATAGATTGAAGGGGGCTGGGTGGGGGTGGGGGAGGGGGTGAAA